GCGACAATTATCGACCGCACTTCGCAAAAATAACCAAGATTTGACAAGATCGAAGCCCAATTCGAAAGAGTAGCATTATCTTGCGATCTAGAAAAACTCTCTTCATTTTGTTGCACCCGCTTCTGTTCAATCCTGCGTCACAAAATTTCCTTTACGTACTGTGTGGAGGAAGATTCTTGAGATGAAGACAACTCACACAAAGCTTGCTCACGAAATTTCTTGTTTCTGCGCTCTCCATCTCCCTGGCTTTTCGCCTCTTCATCGTCTTGAATTTGGACTCTTTTCATGAAATTTTCTTTAAAGGGGCCAGAATTAGAAGACGGATGACCTTTGCTACACACGAAAATTAAAAAATAAATAAATACACATAAAAATACAACGATGATCCGCAATCCTGCGAATTTTTTCGCAAGTGTGAAAAATTTGTAAAGGATAGTGGGATATATAAGGAAAGGAGGGATCGGAATACTGGAATATTGCAAAAGAAAGGCGGAATTTGCGTAGTTTTGATTTGAAGACGTCCCCGCATAAGGCCGCCATTTTTTTTTTCTTCGCGTTTGATGGATCGTATTACCCAAGTGAGCTCGAGTAGTCTATTTCTCGCGAAAAGATAGTCTTAAAATAAACCGTTCTGTGAAAGTGCCGTGACATAGGCCCAGTATGGGAGTTGAACGCTATAAGTAATGGGCTCCTGGTTTCATAGATTAGGGGGTATTGTGACAAACGATTAATAACGCCTCTTTGTGCCATAACTGACCACGTAAGGTACAGAATCTCGCTCAAAAATACTACATACTTTGATTTTGGGAGAGAAACATGGATTAAACATCACTTGACATATTCTTAATTTTCTTTTAGTGGTTCCGCTCTAAGTGACCGTTCAATACAGGTAGAAGACAGTACAAACAGGCCGTTGGGACTTAGTTAAGGGTGAACACCACCGCTTAATAGGTCAGGTGACCGCTTAATAGAGGTTAAAATTACCGTGATTAAGGGGAAACAGGGTGACCGCTAAATACGGTGCTGCTTCATACAAGATCGATATTGACCACTAAACCCCGACATAAGTTAATTTTTCCTTTGTCTTTAATGTTAGTGACAAAGTGATATAACTAATCTAAATTCCTATTTATAGAAGGGAAGATGAATATCACTCCTCTGTACTAAGTCTACTCAGTAAAAGTTCTTCGGTCGTGCCGCGCTATTAATTGGGGAGAGCGTGTTACGTAACCTTACCGAATAAGAGCAGAGAACAGGCTCGGACTGCTATGGAGGCTTCTGCCAGATAGAGGGCTTTTGCATCTTCTTTGTTATTTGACAAATTTGTTTAATGGTGCAGACCAAATATGAGATGAGAAATTCAGTTGCCATAGTCAGCGTTTTCCAGGCCACTTTGTCACCTTTTTTGTAAAAAGTTATTTTTTCATCGTTAGCAACACTTACATACACGATGGTCCTACGTTGTTATCCTCATGCTGATCGCGGAGGTCTTCCGAGAACCAAAGTCGATATTCTTGACCAGTGGCCACCATCAGTGGAGTGTTGAAAGTCAAAATTAGCTCCGGTGAATCAGAAGTAAAACCAGGGATTTTGTAAGGAAAGGCATTGCGATTCTCAGGGAAAAAACTTGGTTGTTCTCATCTGTGATAATGGTAAAGATTTCACTGTTTCGGAAACCCCATTTTCTGCTTGTGCCGCTGCTGCAACCCACTACGCCAGAAATATGCACCAGCCTCATTGCATACATTGTACCTTGCACTGGAGTGAAAAACTTTCCATTTTGATTTCCTTTGCCATGCATGCAAACCTCATCCGGTATTTCAACTGATTGTTTTTCTAGAAAAAAAAAGATGTCCGGAAGAGAGTTGAATGTTTTCCAAAATTTTATCGGTCAGGACAAGATTAAGCCGTCACTTGGCAACGTTACCCTCTAATATAAATACAGGTTTGCGAAAAATGATCTTTGAACGTTTAAACTTAATTTTTCATCTCAGTAATGTCAAGAACGCTCGTCACTTGTTTAAAACACGTATTTACTTCAAAAAAAACTTTTGAAAACAAATTTTGGGGTCTCTTAATTGTGTAAACAGCAGCAAAAGCTATACCCCCTGTAAAATTAATTGACTCTGAAGTTAACAGTTTAAGGATGGCAGAGAGGTTTTGGTTGTGTAAGGATACTAAGTCTGGATTAGAGTTTTGTTTGAATCCTTTAGTCAGCCCGTTAATGATAGGAGTCGTTTATTGGGGAAGCGACCTTCAGTCGACAGCAAAAGGGGAAATTATCAAAATGAGTACTGGAGAGAAAGAGAAGTAACAAAAGTATACTATTCGAGCTGAACAGTTTAAAGGTAAATTCTACCAATTCTTAAACTTCGACGATAATGGTAAGATGCATTAGATCAGAAATTTACGTCAATGGTCCCTGAACAAAATCGACCTCCTGGAAGGATGAAATTGATGGCGCATGCGCTTTCATTTTCAGTCAGATTGAAAAGGATTGACAAAACAGACGCAAGGACGACGTGACAGTTTGAATTTCCCAAGAATATGTAAACACCCTCGAAATACTTACCACAATATCTGCCGGAATCATTTGGAAGACACTCGCACCAGATATCATTTAGTTCATACAAGGTTCGACAACTGCTGTTATGCTGATAAACACGGAGTCTGTAGAGGAACATTGGAAGTTATGTTATGATTTCACACTCATAACAAAAGTGTATTACTTCCTTTATGCAAGTCATTTTTTTCTCATTTTTAAATTGTGTGATCTTCTGACATAGCATTTTTATAGTCTCTTCCTATGGTCGAAGTGAAATCGATCCAAATTTGTATTAGTATGTCATGGTAAAAGGACTGAGTGAAGTCGAATTCAGTCTGTAATCCTACGAGTGATAACAACATCGATTTGTTTACTACGAGTAGGATTACAGACCGAATTGGACGACGCCAAGTCTTATTACCAATTATTCATAAAAAATTACAATTTCCAATAAAAGAAGAATAGCCAAGTTATTGAAGAAAGGGAAAATTTGCTTTAAAAGAAAGATAAAGGAGGCGTCAATTGTTTGATGTCGCTCTGACTACAATGAAATGTTCAAGGGAAAATTTGTCCATTTTGAAGAAAGCCCCAATTCAGGATTTTATGCACTGTTTCTGTGGTGATTGAAACCAAGGTTGTAATTGGTTGATTTAAACTACAACTTTGAGTGTGATTGGCTTATTGAACTATCCGCAAACAAACTGTCCAATAACAACTTGGCTTGTGAATTGGTATAAAATATGAGTTTTTAAACCAATCGAAAGAATTGTAATTTTATGATTATGTTTGTAAAAGAAACCCTTTGCGTCCACTTAATAATTAATCAGCTTCATTTTCTGAATATTGCTCGGGAAAGCAAAGTTAATTTTTAACTGGATGAACTATTTAATTCCAAAGAGCTTCACGAAGATTTATCTTATCGATCGGAAAAATCAACTTTACATTTTTTAATTAAAATCGAGAAAAGCTTGATAATATTTAATTACACAAGATTTGACTTCAAATCTAGTACTTAATCGTACGCTTTTTGGTAAAGCACACTTTGACACTGCAAATACTTGTGATATGCGACAACATTCACCTAACTTCTAACAAAAGGTTTTCACAGAGGGAGGGGGAGTGACGCGGTTTGAACTTCAAACCACATTGTAATGATTCACGTTAGATACCTTTGATAGGAGTAACATAGGAAACTGGGGCTAATGCATGGAGTAGAGGTGAAGTGATGAACTTCTACGGGAAAAAAGATGTAGAACAAACTTGTCATTTCTTACTCCTCAAATAACGAAGTCGGGTCTTAATAATCAAACCCAATTTTCGATTAATAATGACAAAAAATGAAAAGCCGAACGAAAAGCAAAGCCTCGCTTTGTTTACTTTTTTTTTTTCATCCCACGCGGAAAGTTTTGTCGTCGTTCTCCTACAGAGCAGTAGCGTCATGGAACAGTCTTAGTGGTCTTGTATTATTGTGCAGCCGGCCAATATGGCGGATCTTTTTAAACACCGAAGCAGATAAACTCTCTGATTCGTGACATAAATGGATTCGACTTCGGGTACATCAAGAACATGAAAATCATGGTCGATAAAATAAGCGACACGAAAATGATAATCGCGTTGAAGCCTGAGAAAGATTCAATCTTCCTGAATGTAATTGATTTACATAACAGAAAAATATGAAGCAAAGTTACTCTCATGTAGAACATTTCGAATCTAAGGGACAGATCGAATCTTCAACATGAAGAAGGATCGATATCATTAATTCATAACCGTGATGTGGTAATGTCTCTCGACGAAAAAGGTTGCATCCTATTTTTGGTGCCTCTTTGTACATAGGTACTGTTGAGAGTCGAAGGGATAACTGTTTTGTCGCGTCCTTCAGTATTACGATTGTTTCGTTGGTTGTTTGATAAACTTTACACAGCATGGAATCGCGATAAGTGAGCATATTTTAAGAAACGATAAGATTTATATTAAACTCGATTTTGAGGCAACTTCCTCGTTAAAACAAAACCCAGAGACTATCCCAATGGTTTGTTTGGTCTGGCTCAGAAGTGAACGCTAACAGCCGAAAAGGTTTGTTCATTTTATTTCGAACACGGGTTTAACTCTGTTAATCATTACGACTTTCTGTCTTTTACCCAAATAAAAGGCTGTGCCCAGGGTAACGCTTCAATTGTACTTCGAGGAGCTGACCAGAACCAGCAACGAATGTGGAATTCCCTCCTTGATCAGCCATACTATCTCTAGGTAAGGATCGCCTTCGCTTCTAAATCAATTTTATTATAGCAATACTGTAGAGTAAGGCCTCTTACGTCGGCATTAGTACAAATAGAGAAGCAGAGGATACGCGACGAGAGTAAGAGGCTATAAACTGACGAGTGGTAATCCGTAGATTGCAGGTCAGCGCTTTATTAAAAAGTTCAGATAATTATCGAAAAAGCTGAATACACTCTGATTTGTTAGCGAGGATTGCGTCATATTACCTGTTTGATTTTTTGATGAGGTGTGGCGTAGAGAGTAGATGGTTCAGCGTAGTATTAGACCAAAATTGTGCAATTGTCTTCTATCTCAACTATCATGAACGCATTAGTTTCTACGTCGCATGGATTTTTGTCGCCATACCTATGGCAGCTTTAAGGCCTGCTTATATGGAGGAAGAGGACCACAGGTAGGTGAGGTAACCCGCCTAGGCGGTTTTCCCGGTCTGCCAGGTAGGGTAACCCTGTTAGCCGGGGACGCGATTTGCCATTTAAACGTCTAAAGGTTGGGTAACCGCGTAGCCAGGGTCGCATTCATGATACATTTACAAGCGCGCTGAAAACCTCACCCCGGGATCCTAGGGTTGTAAGATTGTACATAAACGTGGGCTATTTTTCGACCACGACTTGGTGGCTTACCTCACCTACATGGGGTGTCCCACCTTCATGTAAACAAGCCCTTATTGTCTGTAATAGACAGCTGCTTGTACACAGTGCATTTAGATAATTATTTTCAGTCTTCTGTTTCTTAGCTTGTTTTTTCGAGCTAAAAGCTTTCTGAAAAAGTGAAAAATGCGCAGGGTAAAAACTTCATTCTGAGAAACAAAAGTCTTGATAGCGTTAACTTCTCATATGATTCTCATTCCCTGGTGCACGTTTCGTGCTTTCATATCGTCCTCATTCATTTGTTCCATATCATAAGCTGAACAAATAAATGACCTCCATGCAGGATGGTCCAGGGTTGTTATTGCCTTCGTAAATGTCAGTTAGGTCCTCCAAAAACCACACCTGATATTCTTGACCAGCGGCTACCACCAGTGGAGTGGTGAATTTTAGCATCAGTTCAGGGGAATCCTTTGAAAATCCAAAGAGCTTGTAAGCATGAGCTCTCTGATCTTCTGGGTAAACAACGTTTTTATCTTTATCTGTGAGAATGGTTCCGATGTTCGAATGACAACCCCAGTTAGCTTTTTGCCTAATCCCACAACCCACAGAACCAGAGATGTGAACAAGCCTTATAAAATAGATTTTACCGGCCAAAGGTGTGTAGAATACTCCCGGTCTATCGCTTAATCCATACATGCAAACATTGTAAGGTAGTTCAACCAGCCATTTCTCTACGAGAAAGGAAAATAATGATGATAAGGACATATTACTACCTCATCAAACATGCACCTGTTCTGAAATGTCTTGCGATTATTCAAGTTCCCTTAGCTCAATTTGTCGCTTTTACGTAAGTGCCTCAGTAGCCGTTCAACCTTTGATGATATATTCTACTTTTTCTGATAGTCATGTCCATGTGAGAACATTTAAAGAACAACGTGTTGAACATCTCATAAACTAATTGCTGAAAAAAAGAAAGGACAACACTGCGGCTTAAGCAGACCTCATTTAAACTCACCACAATATCTGCCAGAGTAATTTGGAAGACACTCACACCAGAAATGTTCGAGGTAATACAAAGCTCGACAGCTGCCGTTATTCTGACAGGGGTTCGATAAACATGGAGTCTGTGAAGAAACATTTGAAGTTTTGTTGTGCTTTCTTTACTAAAATGTTTGCTTTTGGTGTGGAAGTTTTTTTCTGATGTATTCAGTATTTTGCTTCCTCTCATGTTCGAATTGAAATAATTCAAACGACCAAGTATGGAACCACGCAAATTGTATAGCGAGGCTATACAATTATCACATGAAAATATTTCGCCACTGACCCGTTCGATCAGGTCAGAGTACCGTATTCAAAATTGTTTTTTTGAAGTGGGTAATGTTATCTTACCGCAGCGATTGCCGAATCATGAAATTAAGGGAAGTCATTATCATTACTGTAATAAATAAAACTTATAAAAAAGCAAAATGGCGTATGCGATACCTTGGCACTGTAGTGATTAAAGTGTTGACTTGGTTTAAAGCTGTCAGAAGCGTTATACTTGTCTGTGGGAAGCAGCTCACAAACATAGTTACCATTGATATCAGGCTTAGCAGCAAGGTTTGTTGAGAAACATCGCTTATCTCTTAGACAATAAAGCAGACAAACTCTTCGATCCTTGACATGAATGGATTCAAGCTCAGGTACATCAAGAATGTGAAAAAGATGGTCGATAAAATGAGCGAAACGAAAACGCGAATCACGCTGAAGACTTCTGGAAGATGACGCCTCTTTATGGAGAGTTACTGTACATACCAACATAATATGCGGGAAAGTTAACCACGTACTATACATTTTAAAAATTGAAAGTGGGGGTGGGACCGTTATTATTAATTCATAACTACTCGATATTTAAATCAACAACTATATTTTGCGCATAACTATTTAAGATATTTAAATCACCAGTTATATTTTGCACATAACTAAATTTGATATGGCAATTTCTAGAACTTTCTGTCTCTGATGATTTATAAAACAAAGGATTTCTTTATAATAGATAACACATACAACGCATGATTTATATATCCGAGTAATATATATAGCGAAGTTAGACATGTATTACACATTTTGAATTTTGAATGTGAGTTAAGACTGTAACACCGTTATTATTAATTCATGACTGCTTGAAGTTTATTGTTGAAGTGTCTCTATTTTCTCAGTTACAATAGCATTGGATGAATTGCCAAAACTTTCTGTTTTTAATAATTGATAAAAATCGAACGGATAATGTCGAGGGAGGGAGGATGACCAATGCAACATTTATTCAGGACATTGTTTAGCTTTCTCTAGCCCAGAAGGAAGGAGTGCCCAGGTGCTTTATAAGCAAGAAAAATCTGGCTCGAGTACTCCTCGGGCAAAGTAATTGAAAGGCCGGGTTTGTTTTTCTTTCATTCGCATTACTCTTCTTCGACTGAGTGCTTGAGAGTGTTTTAATATAAATAGAACTTCTTTAAAACAGTATTAAAAACATAGTCATGCTACGCATGCAGCAGTTATTCTTATTCCTTCTTAAGAATGTGTGGGTTGGTTATAAACTGTTTATAATTTCTCGCAAAGTTATTTTCTTCATTAAAAATTAATTGAAAAATCCTTTCTTTTCCCTGTTATTTGCGAACTGTTTTCTTCTATTTGTTCAACTCCTGACACCCCTAACATTACTGCATATTCTACATACTGTTCACCCTCCATCCCCTATAGTGCTGACTAGGAGAATTTGTTCAAGAATGGAAAGCACTTCAAGTTGTGGATCACTTCCCTAATTCTCTTTAGCGTAAGATTTAATTCATGTATGGTACTAGGAGGAGAGATAAGACGCTAATAACTCCTAGGTTTAAAAGGTTCTGTCTTATTTAATTTATGGACTTGAAACATAATTTCTCTCTTATATATCTGGGACACCGCTTTACCTTTCTTTTTTAAGTGATTAGAATGCTCTCATATTTTTATTTTGTATCCTGACTCAAGAAGAAAGTTGGACCTCCGAAGTGAAAGTGGACGTTGAAAATGGCACTTTAGAGTCGAAATCTGAAAAAAGGAAGGTCGACCATGTAAGTCGAAGGTCAACATGTAGCAACTAATAAATGAAAGTCGTCAAAGGTTGGGAAAAAAAAAAGCTCCGAACTCCGAAATCGAATGTTCGAAATGCGAAATCTGAAGTCAGAAATTGGAAGTGCGAAGCCGGAAGTCGAAAAATGAAAAGTCGATAGACGCACTCCAAAATCGAATGTCCTAGATCCGAACTGCATGGCTGAAGTTGGAAATTAGAAATCCAAAAACAAAAGTCAGAAAATTAAAAGTCGACAGACGGAAATAAAACTCCAGACTCCGAAATTGAGTCGATACAAATGTCAAAGCATTAATTCAAGACTACCGTACGGATTCTGTTTTCATCGATTGCTTTTTTCTCATGGGAGGAATAACACTGGGAAAGATAGATTGCTCTTAACCTTTGAAAACTAATAAAAGGTTTCGTAATTTTCCCAAAAAGTGCTCTTTCATTGTGAAATGGTGAAATTAAAGTCGACTCCTTCCAGAAGAACTTAACTCAGAGAATCGGACAAAGCCGCGAGGGACTAAGTAATTTACCTGAGCCAGCGATATATATGAACACCGTTACGTTTCCATTGAGACACAACAAACATGGCGTCTGGCTTGGCGGAAATACTAAGTTAACAATTTAAGTGTGAATTTATCAACGTTGTGATTCCACAAAAGAAAAAGAGCAGCAACAGTAGATACAGAAAATGCCAATTGATGCATCAGTCAGACTTTCTTCAGAAAATGAAAATGGAAATGCAGAGGAAAAAAGCGATGTTCCCTCTCTACAAACTGCTCTTGTAAAATTTGTTGAACCACACTCAGAATCGGACGAAAACAATGGCGAAGAGCCTTCGCCTCTTAGCCGCGAGGTTACCAAAGAAATACGGAAGAGAAGGAAGACTATAGTTAATTCGTTTCGACTGGCAGAGCTAGTTCCAACTACGAACACTCCTCACTCAAATTACCGGAGAAAGTCGATTGTTGTGTTAACAACAGAAACTGTCATAGACGCCAAAGCTGAACAACAGTAAGTATACGTTCTGTTTTGAAATTTTAAATGCCTTCAGCGGTGAGAAGTGTTAAATTAAAGTGATATCAATTATAGATCTTAAAATCGATCATTTTAAGTCTGTTAAACGCAAAGGCATCCCACCATTTTGGAGTACTTAGTACTTTTATGACCACGTATAGCTGTAAACATTAAAACTTGATAGATTACCTTCCCTTTTTTTTACTATTTTCGTCTATATCTGTAGAATTGTCCTATCTTTCCCTGGTACAAAAGTGGTTAGAAAACGTTGTTCAATTTTTTTGTGTGTAAAATTAAAGTTTACCACTGAGATCCTCTAAAAAAAGGGTTTACTGACTGTTATTTTCAAGACATGTACTTGTATTTAATTATTTTTATCTTTCTTACTTGGGTATTATTTCCTTGTAGATTATTTTAGAAGAGGTCTTTTTATATCTATAAGGCATTATGTCTGTCTATTCTTATCTCTTGTTAGTTGAATTTTGTATTTTTACTGGAGAGGATATTTTCAATCCCTTTTGTTTAGCTACATGCAGGCGATACACATTTTTTTATTGTGACAGGTAGTGATTTATCTCTTTTGCTATTTTTATTGCAGTTTCACTGAAGGCCTAACATTTGCTGAATTAGAAGATCATAACCAAGCCATAACATCCTACAATAAAGCTATTTCTCTGAAGCCAGACATTGTGAAAAATTATATTGCAAGAGGGGAGAGTTACTTACAGATCTGTGACTTTCAGTCAGCAATTTTAAACTTTAAAAAAGCATGTATATTGGATCCAGATAATGATTTGACTTATTCTAGATTAGCATTCCTTTACTTTTTACAAGGACAATGTTTATTTGATGAAAAACTTTACAGTGAAGCATTGGAATCATTTTCTAGAGCAGCTGAGATGAAACCTGAGGTGATTGGTTATCACACAAGGAGGTGAGAGACTTAATCCTGGGTACTAATATACTTAATGATGATGATGTTACTCATTCATGACCATTGAAATTGTACTTTACCTTTTTTTTTTTTTAATTATTATTATTATTATTTTACAGTGTGGCTTGCTTGGCTGCTCTTCAAAGACATGGAGAATGTTTAGCACTTGTTAATAAACGACTTGAAGAAGAAACTGAGAACCCAGACCTTTTCATCATGAGAGCCAGACTTCATGAACTGTTCCGTAATGTGAGCAATTGTCTAAATCAAAGGCTTGAACTTGTGTCTTAAAAAATTCAAATGTTCTCCTTGAGAGATAAATGTATTGTTTTCTAGTTCCTCAATCGGTCAAGTCATATCTCAGTGTGAACACAACCATAGAATCTTTATTGATGATTTTATTTACAGTTTTTAACTTTGTGAAGTGATTTTAGAACACATTACATACTGTACAATAACAGTTTTTCATTATGGGATTAATTCAATCTATAAAAATTTGATGTAAAATTTTAAACTGTTTGTGGTTAGAAACTTAGATTGTCATCCTTTTATCTGGTAGAGATTTTCTCTTTCTAACAAGTGGTTTTACCATATTTTGTAGTCAACTCTTTGCTACTATGATGTCAAAGATGCACTTGCACTAGCTCCAGATAACACAGAAGCTAAAACTCTTATGGCATCACTTGAAAAGAGGGCAAAGGACAGCAGACAACAGGTAAGTATGGCTAATACCAACAGTAATGTGGCATTATTTAGTCTCACCTTGAAAGTGTTACAATTAGAAAAGTTTACAAATGGGATAAGAGAGATTGTAAATTTTGAGCTTGGTGAAGAAATGGAGAAATATGTTTTTTGCCTTATCATGAGCAAGGGAAAATAAAAAATTCTGAGTTCCCATCAGGAATCAAACCTCAGACCCTCAGATTCTGCACTCCAATGCTCTACCACTGGGCCACAGAGACTCTATGTTGATCAAGTTTAGTTGTTCTCTCATGACCTTTTTTAATTTTATTATCAAATCTTCAATTTTACATATAATTTTGATATTCTATTACCGAGTAGCTGCTCTAATTATTGTTTGGTGCAAGAAAATTATTGGATCAATATATCAGATATTGGTACATGTATTCATTTCTTGGTTAGCTTTTATAAGATTTCAACAAAATTTTGTCACTGACTTAGAGATATTTTTTCTGGTCTGTAATAGGCCATACAGTTACATTTGGTTGGTAAGGTAAAAGAGGCTCTCTCCAAAATCTCCATTGCTATTGAAACTAATCCATCCATGGCAGAATTCCACGTCTTTCGGTAAGTGCACAATATACTGTTTTTCAAAAAAACCTTATTGAAATTAGAGACACTTCACCATACAGTCAATTGATTTAGCAGTACCACAATCAGTCAGCCAACAGTTCAGTGAATCACTCAGGGAGTCAGTCAGTTGGTCAGAGTTACAATGTAGATGCTTTGATTACATTACTGTTAGGGTGGTACACCCTGTACTCTATGTTCAGTATGGAGCCCTCTCTTGATTTCCTTGTATTCCAAGATGACATGTGTGTATTTCTTTAGTGGCAGTCTTCATAGAAGGATGTCTGATTTCAATGCTGCTATAGATGATTATCTACTAGCCATGGATAAAACTGATCACGAGGAATCAAATGAGACATACAAGGAGGCACAGAGACAGTTACTTCTCTGTTATAATGACTTTGCTGTGGAATGCTTCAGGTAAGAAAAATAAGGGTCAGGGTTTGACAGAAAAATTTTTTTTCCTGCCTGATTATGGTGCTTTTCACCATTGATGCAAGGCCCCTCTTTAGTGTTACAGCTGCCAAATAGAGAGATAAATTCATTTTCATTGTTAGATTAGAATTATGTTTGAACCCAGATTGTGATTGAAATGGCAAAGTTTACAGTTTACTCAAAATTTTCTGGTAGCCAAGTAAAGTGGTCGTCTAGATACCAGCATCCTCAATAAAACAGTCAATAAGGCAAAGCTACATGTATAAAAAGCCTTGAAAACTCGCAAAAACTTTGATGCTCTGTAACAAAATTTGTTTAAACATCACATGTAGATCTGATATATCTTGAGTACATGTAAAAGCAAATTTTGTGGAGCTTTACTTGAAATTTCTGGTGCATTAATAATTAGTTAATTAATTAATTGACTTGTGCATTTTATTTTGGTTTTTAGGAAAGAATTCTATGATGAAGCAGTTGTTCTACTGAACAAAGCGATCAAAGGGGAGAAGAAAGAAAAAGGACTGTATATCAATAGAGGAGGTATGTAAACTTTACTTTACCTAACATGTACAAAATGTGTTATTTATTTAGCAGCAAATTTTCAATGTCCATTTTCCTTTATCTTCTCTTTAGATTGTTTCTTCCGGCTGAATGAGCTGCACTTTGCTCTTTCCGACTACCAGCAAGCATTGGAGATGGACAGCAGTGATTGGTCCGTGAGATGCCGACTGTCTATTGTTTATAATGAGTTTGGTATACTGGAGTATTACGACAGACATTATTTGGAGGCTATTGATCATCTTACCACGTGTATCCGCTACAACCCCCGCATTGGAGCTTACTACCTGTCACGCGCCAGGGCTCGGTACATGATCGAGGTATGGTACAAGATGAAATTCCTCAATTTCATGATGTATGAAAAGAAATCCGCCATGTAAACTCAAAGGCTGGAATTACAGAACAGTAGCTTTGACACGTTACGGTGCACCTTAGCAATTAAACGCATTTAACTCGAATTTTCTCTTATCGCCATGAGTGAGTGTTGAATCCAAAGTTGAGCGTTGCAGGCGGAAATTTACTTCCTTCATTGTTACTAAGGGGTATTAAACGGGGGGCAGATGCCCAATTTAGATCACATTCAACCGCTGTTTGGGGGGGGAGGGTGAGAATGACGCAGTTCATGGATGTGAATGCAACACCAAGAGTAAACTGCGTTGGTGAATGAAGTTTTGGAATCGTGAGTGGATTAAAAAACTTACTGTGAAGTGAAAAATTTGTAACTTATGTGGCTGCTTTCAATTTGTTGTTACTTTACTTCAAGTGACCTTTAAAGAAGTTTGAAACCGAAACAATCACTTTACCTCACTTTCATATCTGCCTTCTTTGCTCTGTGTGTTTCATGTAATAATTATGTTAATCCACGCCGATTAACATAACGAAAATAATCACATGTTTGTTTGTTTGTGTGTAGGATTTGGACGGAGCTCGGTATGATGTTCTTATTTCACTATCTTTGGATCCAGAAAACAAAGAGGTTGTCTCCATATTTTCGCGCCTTTTTCCTGGGAGATCAATCACTGACGTCATGAAGAGTCACATGGGAATAACAGCGGCGCGTCAGGCCGAGGCTTCCATCAGAGAAACAAACAGCTATCAAGAGCTGTCTCAGCATGCTACAGGTACGACACAGATGAACTAAATTAGCGTCTAGGTTGTAAGAGCGCTTTAGATCCACTAAACACTTCTCTCTCAGATTGAGGATTAAAATTGAGTACGTAAGCGGGCCTGATTTACATATCTTGCCGAGTAAGGAAATATTAAATAATAATTGTTTTTATATTAATGTTTATCTAATACGACAGGTGCGAAGAATTCAGAGACAGCTGCCAGATTTAGTGGCAAATCAATTCTCCCTCCAATTCGTGGCTCGGTATTCCCTGAAATGCGAGTTTGTATGGAGGAACAGGATTTCCACATCAATATTATAAAGGGGAAGAAAAAGGTAGATAAATTTTTATAACCACAAGTTGCATGCTAACTAATGACAAATAGCAAAGACTGTTCATATAAATACTTCTTTTAAAATAAATTGTTGTAATTTGATTTTTTTTCTGTATGAACAGCGAAATTTTTATGCGAACTATGCTGGTTTGAAATAATGGTGGCGAAGTTTTCGAATACACCGTGTCAGGAAATAATCAGTGATAGGAATATGTTTACTTCTTATGAGTAAAGAACTAAGGTATTTCAAACATGAGTGACAAAGGAACATCTTGCAAGCTTTTGTTCGTGAGGATCCTTCTGACTGCTGATTAAGAAGTATCGTTTTAATTTTGTTGTCCATCACTTCCAGGCTACGAAAATGGTACATAAGGCTCTTAGTACTCGCCAAGATCTGTCATTCAGAGGTCCAAGAGTCCAGTCCACATTGGGTAGTTTAACAATCCCAACAGAAAGAAGTGTAGTGAAGTTCGATGGGCTGTCTGATAAGAGAACAAAAGATCAGAAGGCTTTGGCTTATCTTGCTTAATAACTTGGTCAAAGAGATTGAGGTGTCATGGAGAAAAAGAAAGAATGATCAGGAAAATTACAGAACTAGAATAATCAAGACAACTGTGGTTGAACTGTTTTATGACTGGCAATGGCGTTTGAGTCAGAAATATAGCTTTAAGCCGATATTTTTATAAAAAATAGTTTTTGTTTTTGGTCTTCTGTGGATCAGTTCAGTATCTGAAAAATACCAAATAACCTTTCAAATGTCAATTTTCAAGAAGTTCAAATGTATATCATTGAGACACTATTTATCATACCAAAATGTAATTATGTACATAGTTTGGAACATTGTAACGTATTTTTGTTTGAGCAAATTTTTAAGGAAAACGGCTCGGCCTCTTTCCGGATGAGTTTCAGTGCCGCGATGAACCCAATAAAATGTGGTTCTAATGGAATACCCTAATATTTGAGACATTTAAATCTATTTTCGCGGTAACGGACCGTTATATGATTCTTCACCCAAGAATAGACGTACTTAAATTGTATGGGTAGAAAATGACATTTAGCTTAAATCCTTGAGTTAGCGCATCACTTCGAATTCAAATGAACGTCCCTTTTATCAGCCAAAATTTAATATTAGCTTTTCTTTCCCCTACTCATCACCTTTCCTTCCCCACACTGTAATCACAGAGACTGTGAAACACAAAGGATACATATGTGTAGTAATGGTCTCGTCCGACTTAGGGTATTAATACCGTACTTGTTTCAGGCGGTAAAAATGTAGAGTTTAAGTTATGTAAGTGACGGCGTTGTGTGTGTTTGAGGAATTGAACTGATCGTTTGCATCATTTCCACCTTTATTTTCATCGAGCACTCAAAACAACTATTAGCCATACAGGATGATGGAGTTTGGAAACAACCTGTTTGAGAATCATCTGTAACGCCATTGAAAGCCAACAATTGTTAACGGTTGTTCGAGGGGTGGATAACGCTATCCTGTGGATAAATCTGTATTCAGTGGATTACGCAGTGAATGGCGATTTACTTGTTGGAAAAGTTTATATGTCCTTCGAGTGACTTGGCCCTGCCTATTGTAAATTAATACACAGCTGAGTTTTTGTTTGCGCACAAGCGCTGCATGACTAAACGCTGTCATATCCGGCTCCCCGTTTGAAAGGTTACTGTTCCTGAGATCGGTTAGTTCTCTGTATGCGGAATATGACAAGAGGCACAGTACTGACGCTGATACCTTGCTTCTGGTGCGTTTTATTTTTTAACTTACAAAATTGTATTTAATTTGTGATCTTAACTATAAAAATAATTAGAGTGTCCTAACAGAGTGTCACTATCATAGCAAACCTATTTAGAAAAAGAAATTGTCTCTGAACAGTTTCCTGAGAAACACAGATTGTGTTGGATAAGTTTTGGATAGCTCTATCGGAATGTTTCATCATTGACACCAGATGCTGAACTTTCTTTTGAAAAGGCGAACCAAAATACCTATCACTAGCAAAAATGGATGATTTAATGAACAATTGGCACTTAAAGATTAGCTTTATATAGCGCAGCTACGACATCCATGTAAATTTCAAACTAGTTGCTTAAGGTTAGGAAAGGTTTTGAAATGAAACCTTTACCAAGAATAGATATTTGAATTTAATAGTTTGTTTCTTTTATGTAAAATGTGTTTTAAATTTCCATAGATGACCAATTAAGGCACCTAAGTCATTATAAATATTAAATTTATCGTTATCTAATAAAGCGACTCACAACTGCTATAGACAGAAATAAAGCTTATCGCAGTTCATAACAGTTTAGGTGATACAGCTTAGGTGAACGTAACAATGTTCCCAACATATCATTTTTTCGAGTTTGCCATCGCATCAATTCATTCTCTTGTGGAAAAGTCTCCACACCAACCGGCATACAGTGAAACTGACTGCAAACTGATGAGCCACATAGCCAATGAATTCGAAAATGACAAAAAATTGTATACAACATCGAGATGCTCTCGTCCATATGTCATTGATTCAAACGTTTCTAAGTTAAGTAAAATTTCTTACCATTAGTTAAGAACTAGATTTCATAAAATTCAAATTGGTCCTCTTTCTTTGTATATTTCCCGTCGTGCCCAGCGGGTGTAACAACAGCTTCTGACTTACGTAATGAACGTAATCGGCGAGTTTTAGACTTGATATACTTCCTCGACAGCAGATTCTCTAGGCTTGTGGTTGATTGAAACCTTTCTTGCTCAATACTCGTGCTAGAAGATGCAAATACTCTGGCCTCAAATCGTCTTTCTGCTTCAGGTGTCTCTGGAGTGATTTTTATTTCCGGAGCTTCCACGATGGAGTTACCGCGAGAATGATCAGCGGCATGAGTATTAGCATGGGAGCGCGAAGATTGTGCAGAATGATTAGACCTTATACTTGTCTCACTGAATCGTCTCTCGTCATTATACCCCATAGTTGAGACATGTGCAATGCTCGTTGTCATGGTGACAAGGCAGGAGTGTAATTTGTCCTTGTTACGATTTTTTCCGTATCCGTAGTAAGTTCCTTCTGAATCGTAAATGCTTCTGACGAGGAGCACACCTACCACTGATAACATAATAGCAGAGCACGTGAGTGGAATGCCGATCAGGATCCCAAGCTCTGTAGCTCTGGAGTAAGGCAGATTCTCTTTGCTACCTATAGGCAAAAAAAAAAAAAAGAAAAAATTATAAATATTTTAAGTTATGTTATTAAAAGGAGAACTTTTGAAAAAAATGAGATACTCACCTTTCTTACAGATGGACGGAAGTCGTTGGACACATGAAGCATCTTCCCACCATCCCTTATGAATCATTTGCACGCATGCGCCGTTCTTATCGGGCTCTCCAGGTGCCCAGTTATTAAAAGTGATTGGTGTTTTATCAATCCAATGGAGTTCTGAATCAGAAGATAGCCTTTCCATCCCCAGCCATATTTTAATTTTACCAGGTGGACCTAAAAACTTCTTAACTAAATCAAAAATCTTATCATTTTCTTCTTTGTTTGCAATTGATAGCAAATGAGCAGAGTTCATCTCACAGAATCTTTCAGCGTGATTAAACTGTCTCAGTTCTTTAACAATTCTGTAACATAAATCTCCCTCGTGAATCCAATCTTCATCACAAGTTCCTGCCAAGATAAACAAAGAACAACTCTCTATTAAACTGTTTACTAAATCCTGGGTCGATGATGGTTTTTGTCCTTCACCCGCACCACTCCCTCCCCCCCAAAAAAAAATACCTCATGGACGGTCTATTTTAATAGCCTGAGGGACTGGCGAGGGCAGTTAGGAGGGTAAGTTGTGCCAAGATTAAAATCTAATCACTACTCACAGATTTTTTTAATTTTGCACAGCAAAGAATGCCCTGAAGGCCCATTCACCCTGGTTCCTGCGTCAGTTAATTTAATTAAAAAGTTAGTGACGTTGGGACAACAAACGCCAAACAAAAAATATGGGAGTAAAGAAAATTAGTCTCAAATTCTGCTCCAGACTGGCTGTCCGCGCCTTAGGCGTCGTGAATTTAAGATTTTGAATCATACCTGCATTTATTCTTTCTTCAACCCCAAACAAATTTAGTGTCTGAAATGTTTCATGCCTAACTGTTGGCGAGTAAGCAAACGTAAAGGGCAAGAATAAATAACTGAATGATAAATCAATAGGCGAGTAGACTAATAAACGAAGACGTGACATTTAAAGACTTCTACGTAAATACGTTTCGTCAGGAATAAGTGAAGAAACAATAAAAAACATATAAGACTTGCTTGGTGTAGATGTGGTTCATTAAGCAATATTTGGCCCCGAAACTTATTGGTAAGAGGGTAACCTTACCTTGTGAATACTCACTTTCTGTGACAGCTGCCGTTTGTGAATTCAATTGATTTTTCCCTTGAGATGTTTCACTTGAGAGAGAATTGTTAGCTGGCGGCGAGGGTTTGATTATGTGCGCACTTGATGAAAGCGTATATGACGGCGTTGGTGAAAGAGTTGCTTGGGCATTTTCCCACTGAAGAATCGCTGTTGTTATGACTTGTAATTCCAAAGAAATAATGTTCTTTTTTAGTAATACATTAACGAAGAATATAAGCAAAAGATTCAGTAGTACGTTCTCCAAGTGAAGACGAGATGCAAACTTTGCTCCGTTCAAAATTGTTCTTGATCCATCCATAAGTAAACCCGTAATTAGTCGAGATCCTGGAAGGAACTCGAAAATGTCACAACCTTAGAAAAGAAGAAGAAAAAATAATCAAGACCAGGCTGCCCCATACATCCTCAAATTGTACTCATAGCAGAAAAGAAAAATTCTAATTCACCATGTTGGAACTTTAAGCCTAGAAACTCCCATTCTTTATATTTATTCATATACAAAAAAGTGCGATTTTTATCAGACGGGCGCATTTCCTGACTACTTTTGCGGTTTTCTTTTCCAGAGATAATCATGAAAACGATAGCAAGGCGGGTTAAGGATATACACCCCAGCAAAAATCATATGGAGAGATTATGACGATATTTATCTTAGAGCTTCTCACTTATATGCATTTTACGTCTTATCAAGTTGTTGTCGCTTTTCTATTACTAGAAAAGATCCTGTTTAGTTTTGCTTCCTTTTGTTTTGTTTTCCTTTTTATATTTTATCATATTTAGCCTTTGTAATTTTAACCAGAAAATTGACTTTTTTTCACAGCTTAAATGGAAGTAAGTTTCCAGAAGTTTCTATATGTTTATTCAACAACGGTATAACATCTGTCCGTCAATAACATTTCTCTTACATCACACGGTTGAAGTTACTTCCTGATAAATGAACCTGAAAGACGCATTGTGTCTATCAAGCCCTTTGATCCGCGTCAGTAAGAAACACGTTCACTTTGTCACCTGTGCTATCGTGCTCAGAGGCCATTGGTTATTTAAACCTAACGCTCCATCTCACGACAAATCCCAGTGGAATACCATCCCAACATCAACTGTTTTGGTATTATTACTTTTACTTTTACTACTACTACTGTTCTGAGCTCGCATAATTACTCAGACTGCCATTTGATATTCAGACGGTGGCGTGACTCTTGTTATTTTATTCACGCAATGAAAAATTCGTGGTTTCCTGACTGTCCGAAGTTCAGGCTAGCATGCTATTATACTTTATATCACGGTCTGTATGTATCTTGTTTATCAGAAAAGATTCATTCCGCCACCATCGGATTCTCAAGTCGTC